CAATAACGGTGATAAGTGCAATGTTTTAATGTGTATAACTATTTATTTATTATTTGTTCAATTATGTGACAGGGTGAATATTGGTATTGAAAATAAACTTGTGGCTTCTTGGTCACAACTCCCAGCAGGCGTTGGTCTTCCTTGTGAGATTTGCACCACCCTAACCGGATACATATCAGCGCTGAATAATGAAGTAACGAGATGAATCGGGAAGAAACCATCAAAAACGATTAAAATGAAATATGTGACTTCCAAATCTTCAGCACCGAGGACAGGCAAAGAACAAAAAATTCCGGATAGAGTAAGCGTAAGATATTTATACCAGCCCGGTGAACTCAAAGGAGGCCAACGTCGTGCAACCGATCCGATTTGGTCCCTTAAGATATAAAACATTAGTCGGTTGGTTATGAAAGAAGGAGAGCCTATTCTTTATTATCTTAAAGATAGACAGGGCATGGCATTTGTACGAGAAAAGTTGCTCATAGTTCCCAACGATACAGTATTACCACCATAACCATAACCATATACGTAGGTAGTTACACCATCCTTATCAATCCATCTCTTTGTATCTAAGGGGGATAATGATGTCTTGTTCCATATCTTAATCCATATATCCTGTGATTGACACTTCTTAAAGCGTTCATCTCGTGTTTGAATGTTCTACCGTTGAATAATGCTTCTTTATACTGTTCGTGTTTGATATGCTTTTTTACCACATACTTCTTAACACCCTCAGCTTTTCTTATCTCCCAATTATCAAACTTCTTTATAGAATACATCTTAGGTCTTAATCCAACATACACTGCTATAGGGGTCCCAGCACATTCATCCTTCATCTTACCTAACACCTTTTTATTTACCATGCTGTGCAGTGGATTATCTTTTGGGTAATCGCTCGTGTGGTACATATATATTTTTTCTGCCATATCTTTATATATATCCTCGGTTTGTATTTTCAATCAACAAAGAAACTGTATCAGTACATAACACCTCCCACCTATCGCCGTATTGCTTCTTAAGTTCGTTGTAATAAAAGTCATACATTAAGTGTTTTGACAAGTCAAGAATACTCATACCAACGTACCCCGGTCTGTTGAATTTTATATTACTCTTCTGCATATGTAGTGTGGCTAAGTCGTTATCGAATATCTTGCTTCTGTTAAAAGCCGGACTGGCTATAAGTTTCCTGAGTCTTTCTTCCTCATTAGATCTGACTAATTAAATATCAATACGCTTCCTTAGATTCTCCATAGTTTTTCCTAATACTGAGCTTATTTTGGTTCTTTTCGAAATCGCTGGTAGCCATCTTTCTTAAATCTGTGTTCAGTCTTATATATGTTTCCATACAAGGGCTTTCATCGAAATTTAGAACTCTGTGTATTTTCTTTAGTTTCATACCTAACAATAGATATAACTTGAGATTTCTGTAGTGAACTATAGATTTTGTCTTATCCATAAAATTTGGTACGAGTTTTTCTACGTTAGCTAACCTAGTATTGCCCATCAAGGAGTGTTGATATTCCATCATCCAAACTTTGTTAACCATTAATCTTTCGGGAGCTAGCGGATAACTATTATGATCTTTGTGTAACTCTGTTTGATATTCCAAGTCAACTTCTAGTATGTACCCTTTATCGGAATCTGTGGGGATATCATTCACATCGAGCCGCTCAAAACAACCCGTGGGTAAAGGTTGAATCATAGCCCATCGGTACAAATTGTTGGCGTCGAGATATAATATGTTCGTATCGGGTTTACTCGGATCATATCCTTCCACTTATTTATTATTAGCCTCAGAATACCTTTTCGCCATCATCGATATACCACCTCTTAATCCTTTCTCAACAAACAAGTGCATATCGTAATCAGTGAGTAGTTTTAGTTCTACACCGGTCTTCTTCAACAATGCATCCAACAATAGTCCGGGGCTGGAATAGTACCATGCCGGGTCCAAGATGTATTGTTTTAAACATGTCTTTCTAAATATCTTGAATATATCAGCGAAAAACAGTACATCAGTTTTTAAGTACAGATCGTGATAATCACCTAAATTCTTACGACCTAATTTATCCCACACCGTCAGAGCATGTTTATTATCAGCATCGGTTGTTTTAGATTCTGTTAAGTTTATAGAATGATTCAAGAGGTGGTAATTTAATTTCATCGAATCTAGACCAATCATCCATATATTCGTAAGGATGTACACCTTTTCTCAGCAACAAATGCTATGTTAACTGATCAGTAATCAGTTTTAATCAGGCTATGTTCAGTATTGTAGGCCTTTGCCTTCCTCGCTAGTGTGCCCTTCCTACCAGCTGCGACTTTTCAAGGATTATTAGTCACTCTGACTTGAGTATGAACAAGAGTGTCCCAAGTGATTTAAAGTTTTGATCAGCTCAACATTAGCTGTCAGAGTTTTTATTACCCATGGAAGAAGAATGTGCTTTGGCGTTATTACTTTGCCAACAGTAACAGCAGCAACAATGTCCTGGGCAATGGACCATGAAAGTCTGCTAATGCGAGTTGAGGGTGTCTCTTTGCCACCAAGTAAGAGATTCAGAAACCTTATGACACTACTGGGTAAAGAAGAATATGTGGAATTCAATTCTTCAGAATGTGGAGGCCAAGGCTGTTCTTTGATTTCACTCTTTTTTTGTCCACGTAAGAACATCGCTGTATCACTGACTAATGTTTCATATTTATCATCTGACTTTGCATTCAGTTTGTCCTTCAATGAAACATAATCAGCAGCTATAGTTTCAAGCAACAAGTTGTCAGGTCTGATGTATACCCTCCGTCCAACAGTGAAAAAATGCAAAGATTCTTTAAATTCAGCCTCAAGTTTCCCACGAAGATGATATCGAAAGGACAAGTCATTGCATCAATTTTATTTAAACACAGATGCATTGTATTTATCCATTAACTGACAACAGACAGTAGTTTTAGATGTTATTGGGGAATTATATTTTTCGTTACACAATTTTAGGTCTCATTGTGAGTAATTAAACTTCATATGAAAGAAAATATTGTTCTTTTTTTTCTTGCAGGGTTTTAAATAGATAATGTTTATTTTAACTATGGTAATATCTGCAAAATTTATTTGTTTGTTGTATTAAACTGAAATGCAGAGATTTCATCAAACACGGGGTTAGCACTCGGGCATTTGTGTGTAAATTTGGAGAACATTTTGAGCAAGGAAAATAAGCTTTGCAGTGCAAGAAAACAATGTAATTTCTGTGATCACTTATTATTACAAATACAACAAATAGCTGTTATCAATCACAAAAGTTTAATGCTATGTAAAGTCATAACACTGAAGTATACAATTCTTAATGTCTTTGCATTATGAAAAATAATTTTTTTATAGATTTTTAAATATAATTTGATAACAGAGAAACATTTATTGCACAAAACCATACAAACTGTATATCAAAATGTGTGGAATTCAGTGCCTGACACATTTCATTACACAAAAGTTGCCTAGGAATTGTAAATTCTGTTTTTCATGCTTATTTCTGAAATTTGGAGCAAATTGGAAAAAAATGGCGGCTATCTTGAAAATGGCGGCCAAAATGATATTTAGCTGGACATGTGAGATGTCTATCATGTGATTTCATGAAGTGTAGACATCAGGCTATCTGAAAACCACAATGGAAATTTGTCCCTCCATTTGGTAGTCAAACATAAAAATCAGGGGTCTGGCTCATGGACTACTAGTGGTGTTTCCACAATCGCTTGTGTTTGTGGTGCAATCGCTTGTGTTTCCTCATTCGCTTGCGGTATTTCCGTCTCCATTATTAATAAGTAGGCACATATGTTTAAATTGACAATACCTAGCCGTTATTAAAGCTGTGGTAAGTGGCGCTAAGAACATTCCGTATGTATGATAAAACTCACAGCTTACTGCGCTTTTAGTGTGTTCGATGAATGGGTCTTTCTCAATTCGCGTGAATACATTCGATTTTCTGCCTGGACAGTAAGAAACGTACTAGCTACAGCTGTGTATAGTTGTAAAATAGCTAAACCTATTGTTTTAGTCATCAGAGCTCCCAGTCTAGACTCGTAACGTGCGTACAGTTTTTTTAATTTCTTCGTCGGTCATATTATCAATTTTTTCAGTGGTATAATTTCCCCCCAAATATTTGGAACATTTTCCACCAGCTACCACAGCCGTGAGTCTTTCTTTATGTTTATCTGTATGTTGATCAGGCTCATCTTTGAGCATTTGTTCGATAAGTTCATCGCATTCCATAATGTAATACCTAAGGATATATTTAAGTCTAGCATAATGAAATATTGCATATCCAATACAGCCAAAAATAATACACTGTGGTTAATGAATGAGGATTTCAAACCACATTATTACATGATAACCTTTATGTTCAATTTATTGTATTTGGCTATATTTTGCTCAGCAGTTGCTATAATTTTGCCATTTTTGTTATAATTTTGTTCAGCAGTTGCTATATTTTTGCTATAATTTTGCTCAACAGTTGCTATTTTTGATAAGCAGTTGAATAAGCAGCTGGTTGATCGGTTTTTAATACGAGTTTACGGTGCTTCGTTTCCGCTAACAGTTTTCTGACTTTATCCCGTTCAAGCTTGGTAGAAATAACATCATTTTCGGGTAGACATTCCTCAAATGAATCTCGGTCTTTGCAATGAAACAGGGTGACCAATTTGGTTTGCTCTCTGACCCGGTTATGCTTACCCTTTTCGCGAATATCTGGTGCCATCTTTCATTGAAACATTTATATTTTTTCCCTTTTATGCAAGCTCCGACCTTCACGCTATTTGGCCCTCAGTCTATGAAGGTTCTTACTCCAATGAACGCACACAAAGTGAATGTCAATTTTTAAATGCATAACCTTCTTGTTATACTATCTACATATGTTTTATTGTGTTGCGATATTCATTGTGTATCATTGCGGGAAAATGTATAGTTGAAACCAATCTCAGGCTTACCACATTAGAAAATATTTCGACAATTCTCTTTGCAGCACAATGAATTACGAATGCCCTGCCGTCTTTAATGACCAGTACACAAGCTCTGTTGGCGTCATCATCAGGTCGCAAACCCATAACTTTGACGACACAGTGCGTCAGATCATAGGTATTGGTATAATTGTCTGGTTTCATTGTTAATAATTTGCTAGATCTAACATGGATAATGTACTAAATATAACTTGTATAAAGCATAACTTGAGTAATATGTATTTAATTTTTCCAGATATTCGTTAATCCATTTCTCACTTAGTATATAATACACAATTTTAATATCTGCATGCGTCCGATATTAATGAACGATTGACGTTTCATTTCTGAAAAAGAAAAGGATTTTATCCATGTTTTATCCAAGTTAGGATTGCTATCCATGTGCACAGTTGCATTCCGTAGTAGTAAGAGGATCCGCTGATCAAAATGGTCGACCCATGCTTGCCGTAAAAGGCCACTATGCTTGTCGTAAGTTGCAACTGATGGGATCGGGTGGCCAGGCTCGCTGACTTGGTTGATGCATGTCATCGTATCCCAATTGGGTGGAATGATGCTTATAATATCAAGCACAGGATTGTTTGGTTCAGACTCGATTATTTACAGACCGCCGTCATATAGCTAGAATGTTGCTAAGTGCGGCGTTAAACAACACACAAAACAAAGAAAATTGGGGTAAATGATTATATTCCGTTAGGTGTCCTTCACAGTTAAGCTGACATGCTGTGATAGAACTGAAACGTTGTTCATAGCACATGACAAGTTTCAAAGTGAGTCATATGATACCTACATGTATGTGGGATTTGAAGGACAGCCTTAATGTTTGAACGACATCTTTCTGGTCACTATTCAAAGAAACTTCAATCATTCCGAGAGGCGAACCGTTTACAGTTGGCGACTATGGGAGTCATGACGGATCTTCATCGAAGGATATTCTCGAACACCTACTAGGTAATTACCTCGACATGATGTGTACGAGTTAGTGAGTATGACTTTACTATGACCTTAGCTATTTTCTAGCAATTGGGTTCGCTCGTCACGCCGATGACCCGGGTTCGATTCCCGACATGGGTACAATGTGTAAAGCCCATTTCTGGTGTCCCCCGCCGTGATATTGCTGGAATATTGCTAAAAGCGGCTTAAAACAATACTCACTCACTCACTCTAGCAATTGGGTACACACCAGAAAAGAGCTTCACACTGTGCACCTATGTAGGGACTCGAAACCAAACCTTCTGTGTGACGAAGCATCGCGTCAGCCACTGGGGTAACTCGACGCCTGTTATTTCCTGCCTGAATTACATCTTCAGGAAAAAAACCCTGCGTGTTCTGAAATTTTATGTTGTCCCACTGTAGATAAGATACCACTAATTCTGATTTGGAACACAGTCCGAGGTTCCAAATGAAAAGATACGAGGTATTTGATCAACTGATACAACTTACAAAACCCACATCCTTGATTCTATGTTATTTATTGGCATAGAAGTTATGGAGAGATATTCTTTATTTACAGAGAGCTCTCAATGGAGATTGATTTTGTAATATAATTAAATATTATTCTGGAAACAATCACTTGATGCTTTCTTCCGTTATTCTCTATATCCATAGTTGCCCAGAAAGTTGTTCTTGGTGACAGTGCTTATTTCAAATTACACGAACCCATAGGACAATACCGGTTATCGGCATCAATCATTTTATTCATCGATGCCTACATAGGCTGTCGTTCGATAAGATCCACGTTTTCATATACACGTTTTAGTATAGAATCTGAAGAATCAGAATCAATCGTTGTTCAATGTCATGGTAGAATTGTCATTGATTACAGTGATAAATCAAGAGGTTATTGATTAAAGTATGTACGTCACATATTGTTTCTTTGTATTATTTGTCATTAAAGGCGCCCTCAAGCAGCACCATGGAGAAGACCTCCCTGTCCATATAATCTACGAAGACACCGTCAATAATGACTACAATGCCTTGGTTAAGAAGGTTTGCTGTAGGTGACTTATTGAGCAAACTGACGACTGATAATTAATAAAAATATGGGAGTCAAATCGGGCTGTAATTATAACTTTTCTTAACTTAACTTAACTTTAATGATATTTTACACAATTTCCTTGGCTGTCCCAATGCAGGTCGAATGACTTTTGCTTTTTTATTTGTCGATGATGCTTGTCAACTACACATACAGACAATCGTTTGTGTGTCACTTCTGTGCAACTTATACATTTTATATCTTCATACATGCTTACCATAAAAGGCGACTATGCTTGTCGTAAGAGGTGACTAACAGGACCGGGTGGTCAGGCCCGATGACTTGTTTGATGCATGTCATCGTATCCCAATTGCGTAGTTCGATGCTCATGATACCAATCACTGGACTGTCTGGTCCAGACTTGGTTATTTTACAGACCGCCGTCATATAGTTGGAATATTGATAAGTGCGTCGTTAAACAGGAAACAAACAAATAATTCTTTACAAATACACATGTTTTAAAAGTACAGATCCATGCATTATATGAAAAATGAGCGATAAATAAATTAAACAACATTTCCAATCTCATTAAAATCCGATCTTAGTTCTCGCTGCCGCTAAACAAAGATCTCAGGACATCCCATTACAGGTCATGTCAGACCGACCTTTCGCGAACTCTGACCAACCAATGGAATTACTGACAAGAAGTTGATATTAGGCAATCAGAAGGCAGCTTTCTCGTGCTTTAGGGCACTAATTTCAAATTGGCGACTACGCTTTGAAACATATTTTGACAAATTTTTGCTTAAAAATTTGAAACCTGAACAAAAGAACATTCTCGAATGGCTAATATATGGTCTAGATTGTATAGATTCAGTCGTTAAGCCCGTAACTATCGTTCGGAATACCCCGTTTAGAAGTTTCCGAGGCTGCATGATTAGAAATCCCATTCCGACTGTCACTTTCATGATTTGGTAAGCGACGCTCTGATTGGTCCGATGAAAGGTCGTTCTGACGTGAACTCTAATGGGATGTCCTCAGATCTTTGTTTAGCTGTAGCGAGAACTGAGATCTGATTTTAATGAGATTGGAACAGTTTAAACCAATGTTAAGAAAATGCAACATGAGTTATGCGCATTATAAAGCTTTTCTTATGTTCGATAACAAACAGAATGTTTTGGCCAACTGAAACAAACATCTGTTCTAAAAGATGGACTTTTTTCACTTTTTGGGTGAGTGAGTGAGTGAGTTAAGATTTATGGTGTAATCGGCACTATTTCAGCCATATCGTCACTTCAACAATTTAAACATACATACGTCATGTAGACTTTCTAAAAAGCCTATCAGCAAAGGACAGTAAAATAATTAGAGTAGCACAGACATATTTAAAACTAGTATGGGAAGATAAAACGATATCAATATACATAACAAAACATGATACAAACAAGTTAGATTTCGCCAGCCACCAGAGCCACCATACTAGGGACCGTGGGGACTTACGATACTTCAGCTTCCTGCACAGTTCCCCAGCACAGTTCCCCAGCACGGTTCCCCAGCACGGTTCCCCAGCACAGTTTCCCAGCACGGTTCCCCAGCACGGTTTCCCAGTACGGTTCCCAAGCACAGTTCCCCAGCACGGTTTCCCAGCACGGCTACCCAGCATGGCTACCCAGCACGGTTCCCCAGCACGGTTCCCCAGCACGGTTTCCCAGGACAGTTTCCCAGCACGGTTCCCCAGCACGGTTCCCAAGCACGGTTCCCCAGCACGGTTTCCCAGCACGGTTCCCGGTTCTTTGAGGGGGGAATAATTTCAGAGTACTTTGACCCCCTTTCAAGAATACAGCCACTAACAATCTCAGTTTGCGAATCTAATCTACAGATTTTAAAACGAAATGTAGATCATTTCAAAACATCACAAATGTTCAAACAATTCAATTTCTTTTATTTATTTTAAATACATGAGAACTAATACTATTAAAAAGATCCTTGACAGATAATGATTTGAAATAATTATCCATTGTGATGTCAAAATCAATACGCTCAAGCAGGACATGCCTGACTATGAGTCTCTCATCACAAGGGATACAAAATGAAGGATCCTTTCAATAAATATTCATGTGTATATCTGGAATAGCCAATACGAGTCTGTCGTGGAATAATCTCTTCGAATCTGGACTGACAACACAATAGCTGTAAGCGGTAATTGGTTTTATTGCAAGTAATTTATTTATACCTACTTGGGTGTCCCCTCTATGTGTTTAAGGTAATTGGAGAGAGTCACCTAACCACCAAAAGGTCTTTCTGTCCATGTGCCCCACCAGCTTCTATGAGCAGTGTGTTCCTGACAACACGTTCCACGTGCTCCTCAGTTTTTGGTCTGTTCACTTCCTGCCTAGGTGAGTAAAGCTTTATTCTGCCAAGAATTTGGGAAATACTCGATTCAAATCACAATGACCACTTCGCGTTCGGTTCCAAATTCCAAAAACCTATAAATTAAAAAAAAAACACTGTCAGTAAGTATTTCTCCAAGTAAACGGAACTCCGGCTAACACTGGCAGGAATCTATATTGAAACTAGTTTCATGCTGGTGTCATCAAATGACAGAACACAGCCAGGCAGCTGCCGTGAACCTTATATCACTTTTCAAATTGGTTTTATATATGTTGTCTCGAAATCAAAGTGTATACCTAATTCAGTATAACCTGTCTTCAAAAACAGCAGCGTTACATGTATACAGTGTTTTCAATCAATACCCTTATACCACTACTGATCAAGGTTTTATGTAGGCAGCGGAATACTCCCAGTGGACCCAACTGCCAACATGTCACACTGCAGAATTTACTCCTCAATATGTAAATGCCTATTCAACTTGTTCTTAGAACCAAGGACGTCAGCTTCTCACCTTAACTTCCAATGCCAATGTCTCTTTCCGCCATTGCGACAACCGGATGTGGCGTACCGTTATCCTAACGCACCATTTCTCTTTATTAACGTTGTTTTGATTTGTGTCTAATGATTAAATTTACTTTTTGATTTTTGATAGCTCTACGCTGCAGTCAGTGATATTCAAACAATGTCACTGCGGCCTGTAAATCATTGAATCAGTACAGGCCACTTCGTTGATAGCATGATAAAGATCCCATGACATCGGGTTGCGACAGTCCATTCCATACCAATTTCATCACTTCCAATCATGGCAGAGGAGACTTAAAGTGAAATAATGCCACATTGTTCAATCCTTGTAATAAGGTATATATCTATTTTAGGCGCACACATGTCTGGCCATTGTTACAATGTGAGAATGTTATATGGTAACACACACGAAGGCGTGCTTTGTTTTGCTTTCAGTTCTGTATGGTATAAAGATTCCTTGAATACGTTTCCTGACGGCTCACGTGCTGAATGCGATGCTATAGCGGCTTTGGCGTGCGATGGATGGCAACGATTCCTCCTCATTAGAGCAAAGGAAATCAAAAGTGGTAAAGTAATTTTCATTTTTAGTTAAAAGTTAACTTTTGTATTCAATGCCATTCATACAGCTAAAAATACGCGAGAATACCCTTACAGATATTCAGAATCATAAATACATAAAAGCAACAAAACCCTTGCCATATTCATGAGAAATATCTGCAATAAGCATAGTCGAGTGTACGATTCCGGTGAAATGGTAAGCAGGTGTTTATGAATCCCAATCAAATAGTGATGATACCAGGTGTTCGCGAAAAGGTGAGCATATCCTACCCTCGTCACAAACACATGGAAAGGCAAGTCAGTTGCTCACCGGTACAATCGGCTGGAACATATGGTACAAGTGAAAATATGGAAAAGCCTCGGACATCATTTTTGTCACCCATGCGCTACATATTGTAATGTCCTTCACATGTCTACTGTAAAAAATGAAAGATGTTTGGCCATGTATTTTGTCACATTGATCAAACAACGTCCGAGCATGAGTCGTATGAGACTCTGTGAAAACTATGTTGAAGGAGCATGCTCAATTGTGCCTAAAAGGTTGTGAAATGTACATAACCAAAGCTGGAGCTGCTGAAATATCAATATGACTATTGGAAAGTTGAAGTCATCCCTCTTGTCAACATGTTTGAAAATTTGTCTTTGTAAAACGTTATAACTACACAATTAAATTTTGCGTGCATTGACATTGATTATCATTTAGGTGGGTGTATGTTGCTGATAGTTCCTGCACAAGATACAGACATGAAATATGGTGAAAGCAGAGTTCATTTGCAGAACCTGTGGGTAGCCATGACGACAGTGTGGAGATTGTTAAGGGATCTGCATCAAGTGACAGAGGTACGTACAGTGAAGGTGTCGTCAAAATGTATGCTTGACAATAATTCCCATTGTTATTACCATCTTGTAACCTACGCCTGATGATATGTTTTTCTTATAGTAAGTTATGTGAATTTGTGCGCACGATATGCGGATTTCCCATTGGACGAGATCATTCCGATCATAGTCATATGATCGCGAAACTGACGTCCAAAAGCTCAATGAACGACACATTTTGTAGCTGATATGTTTAGTGACAGAATATTTTCTTATTTCACTAGTTAACGACTTGTTAAGTTGACAGGGTCATTTTTCAACTGTTGAAAATTGACCCTTGTCTGTTGAAAACTGAGACCTGGTATGTTTTCAACGTTGAATACTGACTCCCGGGTCACTTTTCAACGAGGGTCCATTTTCAATGTCACACCGGCAATCAATTATATTTCTAATCCCCTTGGTTGTGGCACTATATATCTCCCCAATAGAGAGTTTCAGTCATATACTTATCAAACCAAAGGAAAAGCATGTTTGAAAATGAAACCTAGAGGTTTAATTCCAGAGTTTTTAAGCAGTTGCAAAACACTTTTTTAACACTTGCCACTTATTCGCTAAACAATTTTGTGGGAGATTGGACACACATAACAAATGTTATATTTGGGATAACACTTGGCATTGTGGATTCATGTCACTCTTTGCCTGGCCGTTGTGTAGGATAGTTGTGCTGTGCATCCAAAGACATTGACGGTGCCTACATTTCCTACAGTGTGAGTACGAGGCAGCCAACTACCCCGGCTACTACAGGAATGAGGAGGAACTAAGAGCTCCTTTTCGTGACGACGCCTCCCCGGTTGTCAAGGCTGGACTGCGAATAAAGTCCCTAACACTAACCCACGAAAAAGTCCACATCTTGACGCAGAGGTGTAAAGACAAAGAGCAAGAAACAGGTGTGATACCCCTTTTTGCAGGACATGGGTAAACCTTGCAGGGTTGAGACCCTCAGCTGTCGGTATCCATTGGGTTGTGACTGGAATCCCAGAATCCCAATGATTCCTGTAAACAGGGAATTTTTTGCGACCGTTTTATTATTGCAAGTTTTGGGAACGAGACTCAATCGCAAAAATTAAAAACGCAAAAATAAGTATTAATAATACATACATACTTTATTCATTGAAACATGTCAACAAATGTTGAAATAATCAACCAGAACCACAAGTTACTCTATAAGTTAAAAACACAAATGAATGCAGAATGGTCACACAATACATTACAAATGACATAATCGGGTACTAGTCAGCTTCATTTCAACCATGTGATAAACGTCTACGCCCTGCGCCACTTTGGACTCGCACTAAAATGTTCCCCGTTTTACCGCAATGTTAGTTGCAACTTTGAAATTACTTCCAGTGCAGTGTTAATACTAATTCCTAATTATGTCAGGTTTGTGTTTCTGGGTAATGATATTCTTTTTCTTTTGCCAATATGACCTGTTTAAACAAATTACCACATTTAACTCCGACAAAAATAATGGAACTCATGAAATAAGAGTGAAGGTGTAATGACGAGACATGTATGTAGACCCGTGAAGATCCGGGGTAGAATAGGTCTTCAGCAACCCATGCTTGCCTTAAAAGGCGACTATGCTTGTCGTAAGAGTGAGTGAATTTGGTTTTATGCCGCTTTCAACAATATTCCAGCAATATCACGGCTTCACACATTGTATCTATGTCGGGAATCGAACCCGGGTCTTCAGCGTGACCAGCGAAGGCTTTAACCACTAGGCCACCCGACCGCCCCGCTTAACGTAAGAGGCGACGACGGGATCGGGGGGTCAGGCTCGCTGACTTGGTTGATGCATGTCATCGTATCCAAATTGCGTGGATCGATGCTCATGATATCAATCAAGCATAATCACCTTTTACGGTAAGCATGGGTTGCTGAAGACTTATTCTACCCCGGATCTTCACGGGTCTGATGAAACTGAAATATTGCTGCAATGCGGAGTAAAACAACATTCAGTTGCAGACTTTATCAGCGGTTGTATTTGGAGCTACTCCTTCTGTTTCAGAGGATAAGGATGACCTGGAAAGTTCTGTTTCTAAATTCGTCTCAACAATCCGATCCTGGACGGAATATATGTTCATGCAGGCTCTTTCCAGTAGATCCCCCGACTCCAGGCGGGATGTGGTCAACACATTCTATGACCTGCTGGTTGAACATATTAAGCAGCAAGACATCTCCACCTGTGGATGGGATAACGTTATAGGCTATGTCGTCATCACGAAGAAGTAGAAGAGAAGAAGGTTAATAAAGTGGTCTTCTTCAAGAGTTTTGTACATCTTATTAGCTGAATAATTGCAGATAAATCGCAAAATATTAACTATTTATTAACTTATACTGTAAAAAACCTGCACCTTTATACATTTGGCAAGGCCATCTGTACTGTTGTCATGACAATGCTTTTTCAAGTGGGGAAGGAAACAGACATGGGAGGAGAGACATTTTTCATTGTTCATTTTACCGAGTCGACTAACGACAATCAGAGCCTACACCAACAAAAAGAAATTTAAAAAAATGCAAATACACTTTGCAGGAAATTATTAATTACAATCGTTAGAATATCAAAGATTTTGTATACTATCATGAGATTGAAGATCGCATAATCCTGATTGGATAAAGTGAGGTTTCTTCTTTGCTACAGAAACCTCTTTTAATATATAAAGCTTTTTCGCACACAAAAAAACCGTGCGTATGAATGCATCGATAGCCTACTTACCGAACCATAAAACGACGGCCACCGATCAGCCATAAGAACTGTATAGTGACTTTACTACTGTATCGATATTTCCTCTATTAGACGCTGAGTCTCTGATACAAGGCAGGTCTCTGATACACGCCGGTAAACTGATCTCGCGAAATTAATAGACAACCGAGCGTCTGATAGAGGAAATACGGTACGTTTAATATCTGATGTCACCCCGACTGCTTTCGATGATGAGGTGACAGCACTTAACTAAGGCATATCTTTTGCTTACAAATGATGCCGTTTATGAAACTGTTCGGTGGCGAACAGGTAATTTCCTCACTGAAACAAACGACAATGAAAGTAAAATATAACATCATAGAAAAGCGTTTTCAGAAACTATATTCATGTCAAAATGTTGTTTAATGTTTACCAACCTTTTTACGATCGATATTTTATCTATCCGTCAAGATCTTTAAGGCAGGAGGGGATCTGAAAGTCCATCACTCTCCTCCCTTGAAAGGCCACGAAAACACGCAAACAAATGCCTCGACGTCACTGTTACCACACTTGATGAAATCTAGTTCAGTTAAATCTACAGGTTAATGTTGAACCACACCACAGATAGCGGTTGTCATCTGGCTTCATTGTAACTTGACTGATGCACGGAGAATGTCAACAACAACATTGGCAGCCATTGACAGTGGAGACGAGTAAAACTGTTGTTATGACTTAATTAATCTGCAAACTTATGCTATTTGTCATTACAGGTATTACTCTAGTAAATGCTGCGGTACATTTGCCGTACATACTCCAATATAACATACATTGCTTTATTCCCCGACTTAGAAACTGTATTAGGATATTATTATCATTATAATAATTGTATGTCATTATCATTTATGAATTAATGTATTTTGAATGATATGTCTCGACGCACTTGCTTCAATAAACTCTCTTGTTTCAGGGCTAGTTCCCGATAGCTACTTCGCCATATTGAGGTCTGACAGTAACTTGATTATTAGAACAAGAACTACTCCACACTAGCACCACCACCCCTACAGTTTGACACCATACTGTGCCTGCTGACACCATCCTCTCCAACAGAAGCAACAAAAGCAACACAGTCAGTCTCATCTTACCCAGCAGCAAACCCCAGTAACGACACTGGTACATGTCCCCAAATATACAGGCCAGCAGGATGCTAAGTTATCGAAATATCTACAATTCGCACTCCCAATTCTGTAGAATTCTGCCCTTCTACCCAGGTGGAGCTGCTAAAGTGTGGTTCAAGGACCTGACTGCGTATACACAGCTGGACACACAAGCGGCCTTTCAGCAAATAATTTTGACGTTCATCAGCCTTCGATTCGAGTCCATCTCCATATGACGCAGACGGAGCAGGAGAACGTTGAAGACTTCATCACCAGTGTCCAGGCATCTGCGTTACAATACAGCTTACCACAATCTGAGATAGGGCTACTCCCACAGATTAGGCTGTGGGTGTATATGAAGGAGCCATCGACCTTGGATGCGGTTCGTCAGGCCAACACAACGGCCAGATTGGTCCAACAAATTAAGCAATTGACGACCCTCTGATGTACAATCAATACCAACAATCACAGAAGCAATAACAATCATCACTTGAACAATACCAAGCAAAACAGCAACAGTACCAACCACAGCTGCAGTGCCAACCACAACAACCACAATAGCAGCCTCTGTAGGAAAAATATCAACCACCACAGGAACAATACCAACTATCACCACAGCAATACCAGCCACCCCCATAGGAGTATCCAGCCCCAGCAACAGTCAAGGGCTGCCACTTCCACAACACCTTAGAGGCAAAGATATGTATGCATGCATACTATGCACAATATGGAAAGATTCTGGGACTTGTACCTGATACTCAACATTCTGGCGTCAGGCAAGACTCAGCGTTTGTAGCACTTGTGCCTCCCTTGACCAAGAACACTGTTCATAGTAAGATGCAATAAGTGGGAACTACAGCTCTTGTTAACACAGGTGCATCAGTTAGCTGTGTCAGCATGGACTTCTTTCACAAAATTGGCATCAAACCCTGTCATTTAGGCCCATGTCACCTCACCCAAATTATAGATGTAGGTGGACAAAAACAATTCTGTGTTAAGTTCTGTCTCTCTTGACATTTACATAGGGCACATCTACCTCTCTCAAATCTTTCACGTCCTTTATTACTTACATCACTCCCTCAGCTTAGGCACTGACTTCATTGAATTAAACAAAGTTACAGTAGACCTGCCCTCGGGGAACCTTCACAAGGTCTTGTGTCAGTCTTTCTTGTGTCATAGAGACTGATTTACGACACCCATTGTCTGAAGAACGTTTGATTGCAAAGGCTCATTACCCTGGAGCCATGACATCTACATGCCTTGAAACATTTAATTGCTGTTATATATAAGATGCTAATCCTATTTGTTAATCCCCATTTGTGTGTACAGAACTAGATGTGCAAGTATGCCACTGATGATTTACTCTTTACATTTATATTTATTACTTACTAAATGTCAGGTGACCTTGGCTATATAAGATTTGGTCCAGAGAGATTGACAAAAAGAAGAAGAAAGGTCTTACCCTTAGCCTAGCTAGGGTTAGGCAGGGTGCTGCGGGGCACCTAGACAACAACCACTACCACTCTGTGCTGACCTGGCATATAGTGTCTTTTGTATGTATATATCTACATGTATAAAGTAAAACTGTATATACCGCAAGCCATCGTCTCCAAGTTGTCACTTCCTACAGGAACCATACGTCGGCCCCTTGCTTATACGAGTATGAAAATTATTCATTAATCAACGTCAGACCGACATGCGTTGTTAATTTGGTGAGTTGTCATAACGACTGATTTACGACACCCATTGTCTGAAGAACATTTAATTGCAAAGGCTCATTACCCAGGAGCCATGACATCTATATGCCTTGAAACACTTAATTGCTGTTATTCATAAGATGCTAATCCTATTTGTTGATCCCCATAAATAAAATTATTATTATTTTATGTCTAAACTTCATAATTCATTGTTATAATTATCTAAATAAATGTCAGAGATAAGTTTGAATCAGTACTGACGTATTATTACACTCAATCTAATATGTACAAGTCCATGCTATTTCTAAATGGCTGCTTACATGCATCAACCAAGTCAACAAGCCTGACCTCCCGATCCCGTTAGTCGCCTCTTATGACAAGCATTGTCGCCTTTTACGGCAAGCATGGGTTGCTGAAGACCTATTCTACCCCGGGTATTGTATGTGCAATTAAATATGGTATGCTGTTATCGTCCATGCCATGGCTATTTCCCTCTTCCACATTCTGAGCCAAAGGCGGCCGATATGGAATACATGTAAGAAGCGACACGTTTACTTTTCATTCAGAGAAACATTTATAATCGTAGTTTTGTATATTTGTCCCGACCTTCGATATTTTGAGGAGTCACAGAAACAGCTGATGCCTTACTGATTTGTCCCCTTTAACTGCATGGCTAATCTCGTTCCTTTCGTCGACTTGTATTCCCTCCCAATGTAACTTAGCATCCGTGAGAAATTCTAGATTATCTGTTCCAGATGAACAAATCTTGTCCCGAGCCGCGATATCGAAACTTTGTAAGTGTGATCGCGATATACGAGTTGGTTATTATAGGAATTACTTGATGATTACACAAATAAACATTAATTCAGTTAAACTATTCCCTGAATGACCATCTCATAACATCGCATTTGACCTTTCTAGCAATTGATGTAGTGATCTTCAATAATTTCATTGATTTGCACTAATATGACGTCCACGGAGATGAGGGCTACAGACAATGGAATAATTGGCATGATTAAATCAATAAATGTGAAACATAAAAATATTTTCTCAGTGTTAAAACTAAATTATATAACCCTGATAATCGGGTCCATCGGTATAACAATAGAGACGACTGTCACGACACGAGGCAGTTTCTACTTGTATTCAAAACTGTTTTGGAACTGAAGTTAATGATTGAGACCTTGCTGAAATATACAGCCATGATATAACTCTCCCATGAAGCATGAAACTGCCGACATTATATTAATTCCATTGAAACGTTTAGCTACATTTATGAAACCTTTGTGATATCACTGGTAGCACTTACAAATTGGATTTACGTGTGGTCATAAGCTGACAAACACCAGAAATAGGTGAGGTGAGGTGAAACTGGGTTTAACGTGGCGTCCAAGATTATTGCACTTATATAGCGACGTGCATGCACGTGTGTGTGCGTGTGGCTGCTTGTACTAGTCCGGACTGATGCCGATTTATAGTGCTAGCTCACTGAGATACCATGCCGCAGTTTAACATGAATACCCCACTCAGACACAGTATACTGACTCCGAGCCGACCAGTCCTTGTTTTAGCCCCTTAATGCCGAACGCCAGAAAGGGTAACAACAAGTACTATCTTTTAACGTCTTTTGGTATGACGAGGCCGGGGATCAAATTCCGGACCTTGCGCTCCACGGGCGGACGCTTTACCACCAGACCACGGAGGCGGTCTCCAGAAATAGCTTTCTCTGGAATAAAATGAAAATTGATAAAGAAATATCACGATAGATGACGTTCAGTTACGTTGAAGCGTTGCTGTTCTGTACCTTAGCGATAAGGAACGTCTTGGCTTAGATTGGTGTTCACGAACAGCAGGTGTGAAAACGGATTTTCAGTGATCCTTTTCATATAGGTTTAACCGTTAGTTTGCATTTTACACCCAGTGGGGCACAAATAGAAACTGGTCCGTGGGATAAGCGAGACAGGTTATTCTCTGGCGTTGACGTGTTATATTAGATTCCCAATACCTCGAGGGGGCATAGCAATGTTCTATTGCGGACACAAGGAAACAGTTTTCACAGAGGTAGGGTTTTTACACGTTTCACCTCCGGATACAGAACCACCTTCAGTTATCACCTCCGGATACAGAACCACCTTCAGTTATCAACTCCAGATACAGAACCACCTTCAGTTATCACCTTCGGATACAGAACCACCTTCAGTTATCAACTCCAGATACAGAACCACCATCAATTATCACCTCGGATAACAGCCCTGTATTCAACCTTTGACGAACATTTGGCAGAATCTACCCTTGCCATCTTTATAGATCACGTGTGTGACTTCAACTACAATTTCCTCAGTGAAACTTTGTCTATGCACGTGACATACATTGGTGCACAGCACGTGACAAGCATGCAACCGTTAAGATCTGATAAATAGCTTAGGCTGGTTATATATTGAATGGCCCCGTATCCGACGAAGGAGAGCAGTTGAAAAGACCGAGACCTTCTGCAAATGATAATGCTCTAAAAATAGTGTTAGCTTCATTATAGCTCCAACGGATAGCATTTGTAATCAAATTAAATTATACAATATCGGTTTTGAAATATTTACTGCAATAAACGAACAACGAATGTCACTGACCCACGTTTACAAATATGGAAACGACATAGAACAAACCAGATGACGTCAGTATTGAACTTCATATGACGTCAACTAACAAAGGACGTGGAAATGGCCCGTCGTTAAGCAATATGAGGGCATTATCAAGTTTTATCATCCCAAAGTGGCTCCCACAGGAGATATCGCTTGGGTGAGATCAACCGATTTCTACATTGCAGATGTGGCTGCAAAGAAATTGCATCACAATGCTTTGCGGACCATTGTGATGGCATTGGTTACTATGACGTCACAATCACATGACATCACTAATGGCTCTGCCACTGAAGCTGTTAGCAGTACTGTTTACACTTCAGACACTGATTATGTCTGCAAACTGAAAAAGTTGGAATAAATGATGTTGGATGATGAATAAAATCTCACGCTCGTGTCATTTGACATCATAGAATTTTCTGTTGACTGTTGACAATGTCACAATGCAAATTTTCCAAGTCTTTTGATAATACAGAAACATGTATGCGAAATTTGTACATCTATAACTAGTCACATAAAATAGTCAAGAACACGCTCCGTTTCTTGTTTGTGGACTGACTGAATCTGACAAATATTGTCTGACAACTAAGAGTCAAATAACCAACATGGATGCCTAAAGGTATTTTTCAGAAAGATTTGTTTGTTTGTTGTTAACGCCGCACTCACCAATATTATATTTTTATTGTATCTTATAAGTGATGTCTGGATCGAGTTATCGCCCTTGATGAATTGTTTGTTTATTATAGGGTTAAGATAATGATTTTGTATATCATTGATTATTAAGTTCTATTCATGTGCAGAATAAAGACGTATGTTTATATGAAATGAATGGTGGCTTTGTATTGTATGAATATGGATGTGTATGAAACCTATGTACTATTGTTTTTATAACGTTATTGTTTTGTACATTACAGGATGTCATTATCTACTCGGGCAATAAACACTCACACCGAGAATCTGTACTTTACTAAGAAAGTGTTATCCCAAATATAACTTTTGTTACATATGACCACTTTCTAAATGGCATTGTGTTTTCATAGCTTTCGGCCATGGGAGCCGTGCCAATTTATATTTGTCAGAGGGGTACTCAAAGTACGCGATCTAGACTACCAGTTGTCGGACTTAAATTTTTGTGGAAGCCTCGGTGGTTGAGTGGGTTAGATCGCTGACTTTGTGTGCTGGCGATTAGGTGCCTTACTCTGACAAGTGTGGGTTCGAATCCAGGACGGGAATCAACCCAAAAAAAGTACGAGAATCTGTACCTTACTAACAAAGTGTTATCCCAAATATAACATTTGTTACGTGTATAATATTGCCTCATGGAGAAACTATCTGGCTTGTGGTTATTTCTGTAACTGACAGTGTAGCCGCGAATAGCTGTGTTACAACCCTTAATGTAAAAATTACTCTTAATGTAAAAATGTTTACATTAAGTGTTGCGGGTTAACTCTTGTTTACAACCCTTAATGTAAAAAGGACTCTTAATGTAACATAGCTGCAATGCTGCTGATGCGGCTTTATGCAATATTACTCACTCACTCACGGACGGTGATAGTTTTGTTTCCAGCTTTCGGACACATTAATGTTTTCACTATCATTTGACACTGATGTACACAATTTCTTTTGTTAAATTATATTGAGCATGTTAAGGGTTTTAATATTAAGGACATAGGAAAGTGTCACAACGGGAGAGGACTCTACCCTATTCCACATAGGACTTTGTGTTTGTAAATTACATAGCATTTTCAAGCTCAAGTCATAATTTTGCCAGATGCTACTTGGAGAAGAAGAGCATGAAAGAAGCATGACCAAAGGACTACTAACGTGTGCATGCGCCTTGACCTTATGATATTACGCATGCGCACGTACAGCGTCTAAAACGCGAGAACACGAAAACGCGAGAACACGAGAACGCGAGCCCGCGTGAAAATGAAATGTCGAATTCTCGCGTTCTCGCGATTTCTTGTTTTTGTGGCCTATTTTTGCATCATGTTCAAATGTCACATTCTTGCGTTGTCGACTTTTGACAAAACGTGCTATTTACCAAAAACACGAGAATGCGAGTTTTTGGCCAAATCTCGCGTTCTGGCGATCTCGCCTTCTCGTGTTCCATAGGTCAGCTCGTTTCCATAGGTCGAGATCGCGAGAATGCCCCTTACAGT